TGTGAAGGAGGGATACTGTGGGCATCTTTAGGATTAAAAAATATTTAAACATGGTCTTTTTCTCCTTTACAGCAAAAGAATCATCAACCTGGGGCCTGTGCATCCAGGACCTCTGAGTCCAGAACCACAGCCTGTGGGTGTCAGGGTCATCTGCGGACATTGCAAGAATACTTTCCTGGTAAGGAGGAGCATGGGAAGCCTTGGGAGGAAGTGGGAGAAACAGAAGTAATCATGAATATATTTCTGAGTTATATGAATCCCGAGAAGGTCTATTCTAATGCCACCCTTCCCTTCCCTCAGAGCCTTCACTGGACATGACCCTGTTTCTGTTAATTGGTTTTCCCCTTTTTTTGTTCTCCATAGTGGACAGAGTTCACAGACCGAACCTTGGCCCGTTGCCCTCACTGCAGGAAAGTGTAAGTGATTGGAGAGTGGCATTGTTGAACTGGTAATTGTGTAATATGTACAGTAAAACCTGCAGGGCCATTGCAAACATCCATCTGTTTGCCTCCCCACAGGTCATCTATTGGGCGCAGATATCCACGAAAGAGATGTATCTGCTGCTTCTTGCTTGGCTTACTCTTGGCAGTCACTGCCACTGGTCTTGCTGTGAGTAACCTTGATCCAGCCCCTTTCATTCTTCAGCCTTACCTCTATAGACTGCGATTTGGGAAATGGCTACCCTTTAAAAAAAATGAAAGGGACTGAGGGATTTTTGTTTTGTCTTGTTTTAATGTGCAGATGAGCTGAAGCTGAAGGTAACTGATAAGCAATCTTTGTTGTTAACTATAGGAGTAAAAAACAGCATCTTCTTCATGCAGAAGACAGGGCAACGGGGAAGTGGCTTAAATTAAGAGTTGCTGTTAGGAGACCTGGCTCCCTTGTCCGACACTAAGAAACACTGACAGATGTCTAGGATTGTACAAGTTATGTACCTGCCTAGGGGAATAGAGCACTACTGGGCCTTTAAGGTCCCTGAAGGTGGATACACATGGATAAGGAAACAGGCACTGAAGCTCCCGTTCCGTGTTCCTGTTACTAGGGCTTTTAGAAAGTGGTGAGAGATCAACAGTAACCCCATCTCCCTTCTTCTTCACCAGTTTGGCACATGGAAGCACGCTCGGCGATACGGAGGCATCTATGCGGCCTGGGCATTTGTCATCCTGTTGGCTGTGCTGTGTTTGGGCCGGGCCCTCTACTGGGCTTGTATGAAGGTCAGCCACCCTGTCCAGAACTTCTCCTGAGCTCCATGATGACCCACAGACTGTGCCTGGCCCCTTCCTAGTGGGGACAGTGACACTACAAAGGGAACCATGGTAAAAGGCTCCCTCGGCTTCTGTAAGAGGAGCCAAGCAGCTGCCTTCCTTTACCCTGGGGAGAGTAGGAAGGAACCAGGCCCTCATGTAGGTTTGGAGGGGTAGATAAGACCACTGCTGGCCGTCTGCTTTCCTCCAAGGGCTGCTGTGTTTAGGGCGAAATAGGCAAAATGTTGCCCCTAAACCTGGGTCCTAAAAGAGGGTTCTAGCCTTGTCCTTCCTATATGCTCCCTGAGAGCCATTCCTGTCCCTTAAACATTCCAGGGCAGGGTGGGGGTGGGTAGCCCTGGGGGTTCCCTCCCTTTTGTGCACCATTAGGACCTTGCTGCTGCTATTGCACTTCACCAGGGGCTGGCTCTGGCCTCCGTCCCCTCAATCTCCTCTCCCCCCATTCTGTGTCCTGGGGGCTGGGGATGGGGTCAGCCGCTGCTCTGTACAGAACCACAGGAACTGATGTATATATACTATTTAATGTGGGGTATGTTCCCCTAGTCCTTTATTTCCCTAATTCCTCCTTCTAGCCTTACCCCCCAGTTGCGGTATTTAACTGGGCTGGATAAGGTTGCTCTGTCTTGGGGGAAGCTAGGGATTCATCCTGTGCTTGTAAATAAATAAGGTCATGACTACCCTTTTCCAAGTTGTTTATCTTTTTATGTGAAAAGGCAAGGAGAATTTGTAGCCCCACAAAGGGGTAGAATACAAACACAGCAAGGCTGAAACTATGGCTCTTTATTTTCATGTGGACAGTTCAAAGAAAGTCATCAGTAGCTTTTGTTTAATGTAAAAAAAAAAAAAAAAGCACACAAAAAAATTGGGGGTTTAAAGGAAACCTAAGTGTTGCTAGGAGCTGGTTGGCAGTTTTTAAAGTTTGGGGAGATTAAGTTTTAAAGCTAGCTTGGGAGGGCTGATTTCCCCAGCTTAAAGTAATTTACGGGAGGTGTCACAGTGCTAGGTACAGGGTGATGGGACAGTGGTCACTGCCCAGGGCCTTGGAACGGATCTTGCTGTCACACAATGCAGGTAACAGAGAGTGAGACAACAAAAAGTAATCAAGGCGCCAACCAACATTTTTGGATCGAGCATTCATCATGTAGGTCCAAAAGGTATATGCATAGGCCGTGTTGGGGTAGAGGTGCCGGAAACTGTCAGCCAGAGGCACAGCTTCTAGTAATTCCCCAAAGCCTTGACGCTCCTGTGGAGTGAAGCCAGCATTCTTCTTGTTTCCCTTGGGGTTGCGAAGGTCGATTTCTTCATGAGCCACATTGAGGTCCCCACATAGCACAAGGGGCTTGCGGGAAGCCAAGCCCTTCAGGAACTTGCGGAAGGCTTCATCCCAGCGCTGCCGGTACTCCAAGCGGACCAGACCTCGGCCTGCATTGGGTACATAGGCTGTTACCAGCACAAATGCGTCAAATTCAGCCACGATCACCCGGCCTTCCTGATCGTGTTCTTCCTCACCTACAGAAACCGTGAAACAAAATCAGCATAAAAAAGTGTACAGAATAGGAAAGCAAAGAAAGTAACTCCTATGAGGGGCTGGAGTGAGTATTATCAATTGGTTTGGAAGAGCTCAGGGATTAGGAATCAGCAGGGTCTCACCAATGCCATAGGAGACTTTGAGTGGGCACTGGCGAGAGAGCAGGCCCACACCACTGTACCCTTCCTTGTCTGAAGGCGCTGACCAGTACTGATGGGGCAGTCCAGGCAACTCCTGAAGTTCAGCCGGTAGTTTGTTCTCTGAACACTTGGTCTCTTGGAGGCACAGGATATCTGGGGCTTCTTCCTTAACCCACTGTGAGTGAGAGAAAAGGTAGAAAAAGTATCAATTCAGACATTTACTGAAGACTGCCACTAGAGATACACTGCTTAGAGAGGAAGTGTGACTAGATGCAAGAGATTTTGATCATTCTAAATTATATAACTGGCAACTAACAGATAAAAACAGCATTACATGCAACACTGAAGAGATTGTATTTCTTCCATTGGCAGTGGATAGCCACCAAGAAATTTTAAGCAGTAGTTATTTTGTTTAATTTTAAGTAGACTATAGGCCACATATGGGGCTTAAACTCACCAACTGGCGACTGAGCCAGCCAAGCACCCCTAAGCAGTAGTAGTTAAATGGAGGATAAACTGGATATGAAATGGAGCAAGTCCAGTACCAAGGTTTTTGCAGCATGCAGGGGAAGGGATGAAGCCATGAAAACAATGGAAATAAGATGTTGAAAAATAGAACTTGAGAAATAAAAAACTTAGGACTTGGTGAAGCCCCTCCTTTTAACTCTTGCACAAAAAAACTACAGAGAAAGGGGAAAAAAAACTACAGATTAGGATTAAAATGGGAAAAGGTGATTAAATCCCCAAATCATTCAATACTAAAGAATGTTTCTTCTGGAACCCTCCCTGAATTCCACTCACATCTAAACCTTTCTTTTTAATCCAGGCTCGAAGGCCATCCACATTCCAGGAACAGATCTTGAGTGTAGCCGATTTACCACTGGGCGAGGTTTTCTGATCTGGGGGGTCCTCATACAGGACCGGCCCTTCTCCTGCTGCCTCTTTTTCGTTTTTCTTTGCTCCAACCTTACTCTTCTTGGCTTCTGGCTCTATAAAATAAGTAATACACAATGATAAAAATTGGCAGTATCCAACTTTGATCCGGATTTGACCAAAGACCCGCTGAGAACTTGCAGTTACTGCGACTTCTTCAGTCTGCAAAAACGCATGGAGCATGTCCGTACTTCCCGTTCAACGGAGTTAGAAACCCCCTCACGGCAGCCTCTAGGGAGAGGGCCTTGTTTCATTTTCTTACCAATCTTGGGCTCTTCCCCGTCTTCTGCCACTGCTCCCTTTTTCCCACGCTTCGGCATCACTGTAGCGAACGCCCTTCTGGACCCGTACCACGTCGCCCACCGAAGCAGTATTTTTACCGCGTTCCCTGCGGACAAGAGGAGGTCGTGAAACCAGCTAAGGCTGGGGAAAAGACGACTCCCTCGAGCGCCCCCGCACTAGGTACCGCCTTTCAAATCAGACTATCTCGGATTCCGTTCCGCGCCTCCATGCACCATAGGCCCTTCAGCCCCTCACCCACAAAACTAGATCATTTCATGCTCGCGAGATCTGCCTTCCGGCCAATCGAGGGCCTTAATGAAGGGTCCCGACTTAGCTTGCAGATTAGACGATCAAGAAGCCCCTCTGCTGAGCAAAACAAGAGCAACCCTGTATCTGACCTGCTCAGGTTCCAGCCTAGCTCCTCCTCACCCGAGCACAAAGAATTCTTGCACACTGTGCCCCCACGTGGGTATCTGGAGTGGTCACCTGACGTGAGACGTGCCTCCCGAGGCGGAGGCGTACGCGTGATTGGTCTGTCTGGAACCACGTGACGGAAGGCTGGCGCTTCTCCCCCCCTCCTCCCGCCACCCTCCAAGGGACTGAAGGCCCCGGCTCTCCATTCTTGGGCTGTTTATTGGTGTGCCAGATGCAGGATTCATTCTGTCACCCTGACCGAAGATCCCAATGCTGCGCAAGAGGGGGGAAAAAATCAGTGGAGAAGGTTGGCCGGACAACGGGAAAGAAGTAAAGAAGTGGATAGGAATGTAAAGAGCAGATGCCGGCTCAGCGTCCCTGGCAGTTAGGAGGACAGGTCCTTGAAGGGGTCTTGGGGCCGCTGTGATGACGGGGGCGGGGTTGGCGCGGGCTCGCTGTCCACGGGAGTTTTTTGGCGTCCCTTGGTGCACGCTGGTACCCGGCCTCTAGGTACGCGGTTTTCCTGTGTGCTCCGGGATCCGTGGCCCAGCACGGCCTGGTAAAGGCTCCACGGTGTTCCGGTGGTAGCTAGCCCTGCTGGCGTTTTCTCCCAGGCTCGGCCATGCCGGCGGTGCTGGGGTTTGAAGGCAGCGCTAACAAGATTGGCGTGGGAGTGGTGCGAGATGGCACGGTGCTGGCGAACCCGCGGCGGACTTACGTCACGCCTCCGGGCACAGGTGAGTGTGTGCGGGACTGACAATTCACAGCACCCTTCCGCGCGCGGCAGGGCCTGCCGTCCGCCTAAACGCTAGCAAAGTAGGGCGTGGGACGCGTTGTCCCCTCAGCGAGCTATTGATCCGAGTCTCAGATTTATGGGACAGGATTAACATCACTAGGCTTATAGTTACAAGAGTCACAGGCCCTTGGTCGTGGATCTTCTGGGCTTGTTTAGCTTTCAGTGAGCACTTTTTATGTGTTCATTGTCAGCTGGATACAAAAATAGATGTTTTGGGCTGCTGTGCAGTTGGACACATAACACCTTACGGTATGATGAATAGTATAACAGATGCAATCAAAACTTTCTAGAATAAGGACTGTAAAGACTTGGAGCTTGGATGTTAGGAACAGCAGTATTCATTTTCAGTATTTATTTTTGGGTTTATGTACCTTACTCTTAAAATGGGAATAATCATTCCTGCATTATTGAGTCTTGAGAAAAAGAAAATTGCCAGACGTATTACAACTTTTAATAAATGTTGCTTGTATGTTATTTGTTACTGTGTTGTGTTTTGTCTGCCCTCCCCTGAAACTTCTGCATATGTAGGAGAGGACAACTGACTTGCATATAGCTGAAAAGCTTCCCTGAACAGGTGATGTTGTGACAGCTCACTCGTTAGAAAATACCTATCTGTGTTTAGCACTAACTCTTCTAGGTTATTTGGGACCAGGAATACAAGGATAAATAAAAGAGCCAATGCTTTGAGATGTTCATGGTTAAATTGTGGGAAACTGCAGGTGATTATAATGCTTTAATTGTTATATGATACAGTGTGTAAAGTACAATGATGTGATCGTGCATAGAGTTGGTAGGGTCACAGAGATCACTAAACGGTATGAGTTAGGTATCCCTTGAATTGAGTCCTGAAGGTTGAGTAGGAGTTGGGTACGAAGAAAGGCATTTCGGAGAGCTGGTCTGCCTAGCTGAACAGACCAGAAAGAGTATATCTGAAAACCTGAAAGACAAGATGCTTGAGGAAAGTGAGAGAGACTCTTCTTACACCATGTAAACCTTAAAAATGAAACAACCGGTTGTTCTACTAGTAAAATGGGCTCATTTAGGAATAGTAGAGAATTGTGATTCAGATCAGGGAAGCTATGGCAAAACCATAAGCAAATCTGGAGACCAAGTGAAAGGATTAATCTTTTATAGGAAAGTGGGGGTAGTTGAGAGGGACTCTTAATTTTAAATTAGTCCACTGAAGTAAACTGAGAGATCCAAGTGTAGTGGCTCTTCATTGGCTGGAAAATCTCTTCCTCTTGCTGAGATGGTAAATTATAGGCTTCTTCCTGTTGGGAATGCAAGGTATGTTCTCAATGGAGTCTGCAGTTGAGAAGGACTGGTGGGGTGTGAAAGCTTCCCCTTCTGGCCTCCTGACTCTGTTTTAAATGAGATTTCTTCTGTTTCACAACTACTAAAGCATCTGTTTATGACTTCTACCTACCTTTGCTATAGAAAAACCCTATGATCTCTGACCTTTGTCCATCTCCTAGGATTCCTTCCAGGTGATACTGCCAGGCATCACCGAGCTGTTATCCTGGACCTGCTACAGGAGGCACTAACAGAGGCTGGATTAACCTCCCAGGATATTGATTGCATTGCCTACACCAAAGGTATAGCTGGGAAACTGCACTGGAAGAACATACCTGGAGCCTGGCTAGGTCAGAATAGCCTGCCACTCTCTGCTACCACCACTACTGCTACCCCACCTCCCACCCTTCCTTTCCCCAGCTTGGTTTTTCCCCATGTCTGTAGGATTCTAATTCCCATGTCTATCCCCCTAGGCCCTGGCATGGGTGCCCCACTGGTTTCTGTGGCTGTTGTGGCCCGTACTGTGGCCCAGCTGTGGAATAAGCCATTGCTGGCTGTGAACCACTGCATAGGCCACATTGAGATGGGCCGCCTCATCACCGGAGCCACCAGCCCAACCGTGCTGTACGTCAGTGGAGGAAATACACAGGTATTTGGAGTATTCCATCATTGCTTCATCATTTCTAAGGCATTGTATCAGCAACTTTCTTGTTCCTGAACGGCAGCAACTCAAGAACAAAGTTGGGCTGTCTAAGACTTTATACGCTAGAAAACCCACAAGAAAGTTTCCAACATTGCAGGATGATCAGAACGTTAGATGGTTTTCATACACGTGGTTATAAAGATAAGAAATTTCCATTCAGAAAAGGAAAGAAGGGTAAGGATTGATGTCTTCAAAATAATGAAAGTGTTTTTACTTTTATTATTTTGAAGCTTTTTTTTCCCTGTATCTTAGCAATTAAAACTGAGGGAAATAAGTGATTTGTTTCTTTACAGTAATTTCATATTTTGTTTTGTGTTACTGGTGGTAAACAGAAGTTGTTATTTTAAGCGTGTGAAAATATTAATAGTTTTTAAAACATTTTATAAGGTAGAAGGTATTTTAAATCTATAAGTTAAACCAGAGTAGTTTGGGGTACCTCACGAGACCTTTTTCGGTTGGGATTGGAGAATTCTAGCTGTCCTTTCCCACAGAACATCTGATGGGGTTATTGTCAGAAAAAGTCATTGTCCTCAGCTTACGAAAGGCTTAAAGCTTCATTTTGTGAAATAGTTAAAGATGAAGCACACATTCCCATGAAAATGATGTGAGAACTTTTATAGGTAGAGGGCAAATAGCCGACTGGGGCCTGAAGGATGACATACAAATTAGGGACTTGAGGTGTGGAAAGTAACCATGGAGGCTTGCAATAACTAATGAAAAGGAGCAGTGATAGTTTTCTCTTTCTCTTCCCTCTTGAAACTTGGTTAGGCGGGAAAAACAGAGAAGATGATTGGTAGAGAGGAGTAGATAACAGAAGTAGAAATGTAGGATTTTTTTCCTTCCCCTTTTTGTGGCCAGCCTTTTAACAGCAGAGTATGATCTATATCAGAACGGAAGGAAATAACTTAGCAGCATCAAAAAGGGAAAGGGACTTCTTATAGTCTTAATGAAGTGCTCATAGTCAGGAGTATATGTGTCAGTGGGTGATAAATATTCTCTGTGCTAGAAGTTGGTCACATGTGAAGAATGGACATAAGTTGATTGCCAGTGCTGAGTTGGGTGGGCCATTAGTGTGACCCAGTGTGGGATTTTTGAGTTTTTCAACTCTACCTCTTGTTTTGTTTCCAAATAATACTGTCCTGGTGGGATAATCTAGAAGGACTCTAGACTCTAGTTCCCTGCCTCCAAGAAGGAAAGCCTGTTCCTAGTCTATATTGTCAAGACTGTAATCTAGAACCTCCAATCTAGAAAACTGTATTCAAAATGAGAATTGCTTCTGCCTGACCTAGGCTACCATCTATAGATGAGAAATCTGCTCTGGGAATCCTCAGGGTACTCATAGGCTTCTGAGATAAGAGCTATGACAAAGTACCTATTCGGGGCTTAGATAAGGTCTTTTGTTCCATTTGTCATTGGGAGCTACAGTGGCCATGTTGATCTTCTGCTATGCTCTTCCCCAAAGCCAAATACTCCTCTTTACAGACTTGAGGTTTCATGGACATCCTCATCACCCTTAGGTGATTGCATATTCAGAACATCGTTACCGCATCTTTGGAGAAACCATCGATATTGCTGTGGGTAATTGTCTGGATCGTTTTGCTCGAGTGCTAAAGGTAAGCCACTGGGGCTAGAGAAGACATAAGATGTGAATGAATTGGAAATGGAGGGAGAAAGTCGTAAATCAGCTTCTTACACTTCCTGGATATCTGACTCTATGCTCTTTTTCCTTCTGCTAGATTTCCAATGACCCAAGTCCAGGCTACAACATTGAACAGATGGCAAAGCGGTAAAGGGGCATGACATGGGAGGAGGCTGCCTGGCGGGGCTTCGGGGATTTCCCTGTATGTACATTAAGAAGGCTTTGGAGGGTAAGCAGCCAGCTAACTACAGGCTGAGTGCCTTGTATACTCCCTCCCACACAGAGGCAAGAAACTAGTTGAGCTACCCTATACTGTAAAGGGGATGGACGTCTCATTCTCTGGGATCCTGTCTTTCATTGAGGTGAGTGTGGGACAGGTGAGGAGAGAGCACTTTCATGCTTTTTGATGAAGCATATCTGTTTTGCTCTCCATTGTATTTCCTGCCTATAGCATAGTTCTGGTCCATACTAGATGCTGAATAAATCCATTAAGCAAATATTTTTTAAGCATCTTCTGTATGCCAGGCACTCTTCTAGGCAATAGCAACACAGAATGGAGCAAAATAAAAGTCTCTGCCTACTTGAAGCTTAGATTCTAATGGGAGGGGGTGACAGGTGAAGAAACAAGGGAGCAGATAATAAAAAGAGCCAGATGATGAGAAGCATTATGGAGAAAAGGTAAGCAGAATAAGGGGTCAGGTGGGAGATTGGGGGTGCCAGGGCAGGCATTTGTGATTATCGAATCCTAAATCCGTGTTGCCTGTTCTGTAGCTTAATCCCAATGAAAGGCAAAGCGTGCTGTAGATATGCTAACAAGTTGAATTGTCATGAAACATGGTGATCTTCCAAGTGCACTGATTTTTGGTCTCGTGTCATCCCCCAAACACAATTCATTGTTTTATGTATTTTTTTCTTCTTCTTTAATTACAGGATGTAGCCCAGCGGATGCTGGCCACAGGCGAGTGTACTCCTGAGGATTTGTGCTTCTCTCTGCAGGTAATGGGATAAAAACCTGGAACCAAACGTTGGGACTGGAGGACCTTTTATGTAGTAGAGCAGAACTAAGCTGGGATCCCCTCTGGTGTTTACACCTGATCTGTCCTTCACAGGAAACGGTGTTTGCAATGCTGGTAGAGATCACAGAGCGAGCCATGGCACATTGTGGCTCCCAGGAGGCCCTCATCGTGGGAGGTGTTGGCTGTATGTATCGTTAGACTATGCCCCTCTTTCCTGTTCTTGGACATTTGCATCTTCCTTCTGATAGTCTTAATTTCTAAGAGTTTGGGGAAGTTACTAGTTTCCACTTCCCAATCTTTGCCCCCTAAACTCCTACGTCATTTTTGTAAGTAAACGCACATGAGGTGTACAGCTGGACCATGCAGAAATGGCTAAAACTAAGCCAGCCCTACCGCCTGCCTCTTCATAGGTAATTTGAGGCTACAGGAAATGATGGAGACAATGTGCCAGGAACGTGGAGCTCGGCTTTTTGCCACAGATGAGAGGTAAAGGCCCTTTCCCTTTCTCGATTTCTCCTTTCTTTTCCTCCATTACTGTGATTTTTCACCCTTAGAGCCCAAATTTCATATCTCTTTTCCTTCCCAGATTCTGCATTGACAATGGAGCCATGATAGCCCAGGCTGGTTGGGAGATGTTTCGGTCTGGGCACAGGACCCCCCTCAGTGATTCTGGGATCACACAGAGGTGTGTACCTCTTGGAGGGGTGGATAGGATTATATGGGAGGTAGGCAGAAATCAGCAGGGAAGAGAGTCCAGGATCATGAAGGCAGAGAAGAATGGAAGATTCTAAGGCATAGCTGTCCACTAAGTTTTTCCTGTTTTTTCACACAGGTATCGGACAGATGAAGTAGAAGTAACCTGGAGGGACTAACAACTTTAACAGAATCAGAGTAGATAGTGCCCTAAGTAGAGCCTACAGGAACTTGGACCTTTATCTCTGTCTGATCTGGGCATCCTGGGGAGGCTGTGGACTCCTGCCTCCCATCATTTGAACCTCAAGTTGATTCTGCAATAAAATATTGTTGGTTTTGTATGTTGGTCATTGGCTTGTGTTAATCAGGAGCAATACAGAGTTGGCACTAGATAAATTCTTGTTGATGAGATGAATGGTTAAGGAGGCATAAGTCAGAGCAGTGCCTTGGCTGACTGCAGAGCTGCTGCTGTGGGGCTGAGATTGAGGGAACACCTTAGCTACTCTTCTAACATCCCCTTAATAACAGCGTTGTCATAACTAATACTATTTCGGTGTCAGGCTTTGTGCTGAGCGCTTTGTGTTCGTCAACCCATTTAAGTTCTCTGGAGTAGGTACTCAGGAGTTGCCTCGGAATAGCCTCGGGTCAGATCTAATTTTGTACTAATTTGTAACTCAAGAGCAAAATTGTCCCTCCTGGCACTTACTCCCACATGCTCCTACATACGCTTTCCCTGGTGGGCTTGAAGGGCTGCCCTAGATCCGCATCTCTACCAAAACCCTGCGGAACTAACATCCTGCCCTTTACCTTGTTTGTCCATCACCGTGAGGAGGCCCAAACCAGCAAGTCCCCTTTCATCTTTACACTCTAATAACTGTTACTTTCTACTTCCAATTTGTTCCTCCTGAAATTGTTTTTGTGCTCTCTGGAACTAAGCTGGTTAGTAGTAAAATTACCTATATCCTCAACCTCTTTTCTGAATGTTTTCCTTACCTTCCTGTTCAGAGCCCGGATTTCCCCGTGAGAACTTTGCTTCTCCTACCGCGTCTAATGATGGTGTTTTCTCCGGCACATCCATTGTACCACCGGCCCTGGGGATCGTGATGTAGGTGTCCTCATTTCTCCTCACACTATGTTCGGTTTGTTCCCTCTCATCACTGACACACGTGAGCTTTGAAACACATGTCATCTGTTACTGTACCGTGTCCCAACCGTTCCTGGCAAATCCCAACGATTTTAGTACCTGCGTAGATGATCCTTCTAACGCTTTCGTCTCAGCTCTGTGCTCCTCCTGTGATCAGGTCCTCCGTCCCCCACTGCAGCCACTCATTCCCTTGGTCCTAGTCAAGACCTACAGCTCCTCCATATTTCAGTCTGAAACATCCCTCCTATCTTTGTAGCTCATTCCCTTTAGTGCACTGAAACCAACAATGTTTTCATCAGGTCCTGCCATCTGTTGCTCTTCCTTTCCACTGACCTCAACCCTATATATCTTCATTTTCCTCCAGCTAAACTCCAGTCATGAGCACTCCATTGCAAACACCTCGCCTCCCTCACCTCTCTGGCTTTTATCAGCCTCAACTCTTCACCTACTTGATTCCTAGACCCATGGAGCTAAATGGGCGAGCAAAAAACAGGCTGACCTGTCTTACTTTTTTTTTTTTTGTAATGTTTTGTTTTGTTTTTTTTTTTTTCTAGGAGAGAGAGAGAGACAGCGTGAACAGGGGAGGGTCAGCGAGAGAGGGAGTCACAGACTGAAACAGGTTCCAGGCTCCGAGCTGGCAGTCAGCACAGAGCCCAACGCGGGGCTCAAACCCACGAACCGCGAGATCATGACCTAAGCGAAAGTCGGACGCCTAACCGACTAAGCCACCCAGGCGCCCCTGACCTGTCTTACTTTAAATTCATCATCCTGACACTGAGTGGCTCCTTTATATTCCTTAGTCCTTTCACTTGCTTTGTTTCTGGTAACTGTTTTATTATACCTGCTGACCCCTCAGATCTCCCATATCTCCCCCCACCCCTTCTCACTCTTAGTTTGGCTCCTATGTTAATGAGAAAATAGAAGCAATCAGGAAATGTCGGAGCACCTGGGTGGCTCAGTCGGTTAAGCATCTGACTTGGACTCAGGTCATGATTTCACGGTTTGTGAATTCAAGCCCTGCGTCAGGCTCTGTGCTTACAGCTCAGAGCCTGGAGTCTGCTTCGGATTCTGTGTCTGTCTCTCTCTGCCCCTCCCCTGCTCATGCTCGCTCACTCTCTCAAAAATAAATAAACATTAGAAAAAAATTTAAGAAGAATAGAAAAGCAAGCAGAAAATGTTCACAAGCTCCCACCACTACATCTAATCACCTTCCAGTGTTTATACCCATGTACTCTACTTTCCCTCCTGTTACTGTATACCAGTATACAGTTAATACCTGTTACTGTATACTCAGCTGAGATTGAATTTGCTCCCCAGAGGTTGTTTGGTTGTCACAACTGGGACGCAGGACTACTGGGTAGAAGCCAGGGATTCTGCAAAATACCCTGCAATGCACAGAACAGCTCCCCACACAAAGAATTATCTAGGCTAAAATGTCATTGGTGTGAAGATTGAGAAACTGTGCTATAAACAAACTATCCGTGTTCCTGTCCAGTTACTTATATGGTACATTCCATTCTCTTGTCTTTCAGGACATTTCTCTCTCCTATTTATTTAAATTGTTCTAATGTTTGTTTATTTTTGAGACAGAGAGACAGAGCGTGAGCAGGGAGGGGCAGAGAGAAAGGGAGATACAGAATCCAAAGTAGGCTCCAAGCTCTGAGCTGGCAGCACAGCTCTAATTGCTCAGACCCACAGACCATGAGATTCTGACCTGGGCCAAAGTTGGAGGCCTAAGTGACGAAGTCACACAGTCACTCCTCTCATTTTTTTTTTTTTTTTAGAGTCAATATTTGCCTTTCTTTCCTAGATCTTCCTCTCGGTACACAAATATGCTATCGTTTTCCTTATCTTACAAATAGATGAATGCCTCTTGACCCAGTTTCTCCTTTGAATTGCTTCTCATTTTTCTGCTCCGTTTTATAGCAAAACATCTTAAAAGAGTTGTTTCTAGTCCCTCACAACCAATTCCTTGTTAAGTCCACTCCACTAAGACTGTTCTTATCAACGTCACCAATGACTTCACGTATCTGATGGAGTATTCAGCTTCGTCCTGCATAGGCTACCAGCAATGTTTGACACTCCTTCTTTGAAACACTTTCTTTACTTGGCTTTAGGACATGTTCTCTGGTTTGCCTTCTAGCTTACTGACTGCCCTTTGTTTCCTTTGCTGGTTTCTCCTCATTTCCACAACCTAGTAACCGTCTAGAGTTTAGTCCTTGGACCGCTTCTGTATTTAAACACACACTTTCTGTGATTTCATCCAGTCTTACACATTAAAACCATTTCAGTGTGGTTGACTTGCAATTTTTAGCTCCAACCCGGACATCTGTTCTGAATATTTAGCTGCCAATCGGCATCTCAGCTTGGATGCCTAATAGACATCTCAAATTTAACATAGAAAACACTGGACTGTTTTGCTCCCCGTCTTATTGCTGTCGTCTTCCCTATTTCAGTGAATGACAACCCCCTCCTTCTAGTTGTCCATGTCAAAGCGCCCTGATGTTATCTGACACCTCTTTTTCTTCTCCAGTTCCCCAAATCACATGGGCTTTAACTTCAGAATATATCTACAGTCCTGATTCTTCTCACTTTCACTGCTGCCACCCTAGACCAGGCCAGAATTCTCTATTTCCAAGATTGCTGCAGTAGCTGGTATATCTGCTTCCAAGATTGCACACTTACAGCCTTTTTTTAACACAGCAGCCAGACTGAATAGTAAACATTGAAGTGTACCAGTCCCTCAAGGTCTTCATACTTGTTGCTTTCTCTGCTTGGAAAGCTCTTGCTTCAGCTGTAGCTTGCTCCATTAGTCTCATAGTCTTTAAGTCTTTGCTCAGCTCTTCTTGTTTTAAGTGAAGTCTTCCTGACAACCCTACTTAATATTGCACCCCTCCAGCACTTTGTAGCCCCCTTCCCTGTTTTATTTATCTTCATAGTACTTACCACCTTTTTTTTTCTTTTTCTTTAATTTTTATTTATTTAAATATCAGGACTACAATTTAGGGGTTCATGACTTACCTTTAACACCCAGGGCTCATCCCAAATTTCCTCCTTAATGCCCCTTGCTCTTTAGCCCACCCCACACCCAAAACCCCACCAGCAACCCTCAGTTTGTTGTTATCTGTATTTAAGAGTCTCTTGGGGCATCTGGGTGCCTCAGTCGGTTAAGCATCCAACTTGGGCTCAGGTTGTGATCTCACAGTTCATGGGTTCAAGCCCCACATCGGGTTCTGTACTGACAGCTCAGCCTGGAGCCTGTTTCAGATTCTGTGTCTCCCTCTCTCTCTTCCACTCCCCCACTCGTGCTCTGTCTCTCTGTCTCAAAAGTAAATAAACTATATTTTTTAAAAAAAAATTTTTTAGAGTCTCTTATGGTTTGTCTTCCTCCGTGTTTTTATCTTATTTTTGCTTTCCTTCCCTTATGTTCATCTGTTTTGTATCTTAAATTCCACCTATGAGTGAAATCATCTGATATTTGTCTTTCTCTGACTTATTTCCCTTAACATAATACACTCTAGTTCTATCCATGTTGTTGCAAATGGCAACATTTCATTCTTTTTGATTGCCAAATAATACTCCATTGTGTGTGTATATATGTGTGTGGTGTGTATATATGTGTATATATATATATATATCATGTCTTTATCCGTTCAGCAGTTGATGGATTTTGGGCTATTTCTATACTTTGGCTGTTGTTGATAGTGCTGCTATAAACATTGGGGTGCATGTGACCCTTTGAATCCAGTGGTCCAGGTTCATTCTTTTGCATGTTGCTGTCCAGTTTTCCCAGCACCATTTGCTGAAGAGACTTTTTTCCACTGGATATTCTTTCCTGCTTTGTCAAAGATTAATTGGTCATATGTTTATGTGTCCATTTCTGGGTTCTCTTTTCTGTTCCGTTGATCTGTGTGCCCTTACCATACTGTCTTAATGATTACAACTTTATAATACAGTTTGAAGTCTGGAATTGTGATGCCTCCAGCTTTGGTTTTCTTTTTCAGGATTGCTTTGGCTATTTGGGGTTTTTCTGGTTCCATACAAATTTTAGGATTGTCTATTCTAGCTCTGTGAAGAATGCTGGTATTATTTGACAGGGATTGCATTAAATACTACTTTGGGTAGTATCAACATTTTAACAGTAGTTCTTCTAATTCATGAGGATGGAGTGTTTTTCCATTTTTTATGTGTCTTCTT